TCATATTGACCGAGTGATTAGAACACAGTTCCTAGGTTTCCGTAGCTTGCTGCTCCTCTACTTCTGGAACCAATTTCTTTTGTGGTAGCGAGTGCTTTCTAATGATATTCTCGGGCCTTGTCATATTGGCCGAGTGATCGGAACAAAGTTCCAAGGTTTCCGTAGTTTGACGCTTCTCTATTCCTGTTACCAATTTCTATATTGATAGCGAATGCTTTCTCCCGATACTCTCGGGCCTTGTTATATTGACTTTGTGATTGGTACATTACTCCGAGCTTTGCGTAACATAGTGCCTGGCCATGTGTGTTTCCCATCGTTTTCATGATGTTTATGGCTGATTCGTAAAATTTCCAGGCCTCCATTAATCCATTAATTTCCCTTGTACCTGAAGTACTTGTGCCAGGTCTAAATGTAGCCATCCTTTTTCAGCGGTGTCATTAGAGTCTAGGTATAGGAGGAATTCCCTGAGGTAAATTTACTGTACTTTTCTAATCCTTTATATTAGCGTAAGCACATATTGTTTTCTTGTAGATGGCTCGGAACGTAAAGTTTGCCAATGAACAATCGATAGCCCGCGTCTGACTGTGTAATATAATCAAACATTCCTTGTATATCTCGATGGCTTGCAACACGGTGCCAGTCTTGCGAAGGAACTCGGCGACCACTATACCTATGGAGATAGCTGATATGGCTTCTGTTATGCTATTCAGCTTGACCCTGTTTCTTCTCAGTTTGGAAAAAGGGAGAAATTAGTGAAAACTTAAACACGGATTGTTTTTAGAAAATCTTTTTAGTTTTAAATTTCAAATTGCAATTTTTATCTTCCCCCCCGCCTTGAAGTCTTTTTGTATTCACGGGCTGCACAGGTAAGTTTTTCTATCATTAGCAAACCATGTCAAAGAACTCTAATCTCGACATCGGCAAATTGACGTGGACATTTTTTCGCACTTTTTTTTTGCTTTTTTTAACGAAGTTTAGTTAATTGTTTTTGGGCTTTCGTTCGCGTTATTTTTTGTAACCCTTAGTTTGGAGTTTTAAGAAGTGCCGGAATTTTTATGTTGTGGTTCATTTAACAAGTTTAATACATATTTTCTACGAAGTTTGTACTCTAGCCTCTTTTTTCGCGATCGTAGATGAGATTTTTACATTGTCCGTCAAAAAGAAACACCTTTGCGGTCTGTTCTACTGGGGTGTTTGTTACACTGTCACGCGAATCACGCAAATTAGAGACCAACTGGAAACTTTAACTGGCTAACAGAACACAACTAATTTCATTTGACCTGCTAATTCATATTATTTTACAGTAATTCAATTTAATTATGTAAGAAGGAGCAATTCTCTTAACAAAACCGATTTACTGGGCTTTCAAGGGAGCTCGTGTTGCGTCGTACTGCTTACTGCTAAATTTAAACTGCCCAGCCCATATCTTAATAATAATAATCGCATTTCCTTGCAACAAGTTCGCGTTTCTAGAAATTAAATCAGAAGGTAGGTCTTTCTTTGATCTGCTTCCTGAAAATTTATTATGACTCACGGGTTTTGCGTGTGTTCGGAGAATGTTCCATATTAGCCACCTCTTTGTGAAGGTCCTGTATTCAATGGAGTGGTTGTTATAATTGTCCGCACATATTCGATACGCACTTTATTTGATGATCTTACATTTTTATGAGTAAATCCTTGTAAAGGGCGCACTATTTGTCGATGTTTTTGGAAGAGTATTATAAAGTATCGAAATATAAACAATGGCGTTTTTTCCTATACATATCTTATTCAATGGAAGGAGTCATAGTTTCGTTTCAAAGAGAGAGGGTGGGGGTGGGACAGTGAGATTTCTATATGCTGTTAATATTGTTATTCTTATAATTTTCTTTTGAAGCTTTCATAAAGGTATTAGTGTTGTTCAGATTTCTAAAACAGTCAGCATTGATGCAAAATACCTTTGAAGTTAGAAACGTTCCTTTTTCATAATGAAGGCAAAGGGACTTGTATAAGATCTTCTGAATGAAGTCAACTTTTTCCTGGGAAAAAGAAGAAAAATCCATGGTGAAAAGTCGGGAATTTATTAAAATTATTTTTTTGTCTCTTTTCACGCCATCATACTGAAGGTAAACGGACTGAATCGGCTCATAATTTATTTTGTAATTAAGTTTATACCAATCTGACAAAGTCTTTCTTTCGGAGTCAATTATTTTTTTCAGAATAGGCCGTCGCCCAAATTTCGGACAAAAATTGATGGGGTGTAGTTTGAGGGGGCCAATTTTGTTCCCTTTCATAGACTACAAATGTAATGACCTTAGAGTAAATAAATATATACATTTTTTGCCATATAAATGATAAGTTACTGGTTGCGTTCTGGCAAAGAATTATATGACGACTCAGGAGACAAACAGTCACTCGATACCAACATTTTTATACATTCATG